CCCGTTCCATGATTTGGATACCTACTCTCACCCCAGATTCAGAGAAATTCAAGGGGCAGACTAAAAAATACCTTCAACGCAATTATGGAACGGTTTATTCAAGAGGTTGGATGAGTCCGACGGCCGTCTTAATTGTGACTTTAGAGAGAGAAAGTCACATGGCAAAACCCCTCCATCAAGTTATCTCCCACCATTTGTCATCGCCGGCAACTTCCCGCTTTGGGTTTGTCGATGAAAATTAACGTTTAATGGAGGGTTTTCTCTTTTCTTCCTTGCCCTGGAGCAGTCGATTCACAGCCCTTGGACCTCTGGTCTCCGCACGGCACCAAATGACTTGTTGCTGTACGATAGGCATCCCCCTCCTCCACAGACTCCCCTTTCCCAGAGAGATTACGACGACCCCAAAAACACGCCTTTCTTGTCCTTTGCCTTCCTCTCTCTCTCTCTCTCTCTCTCTCTCTCTCTCCAGCGTGCCCACACGCATGAGCTCCGATGAAACGTCGACATACGTACACATGGTTTTAATAGAAGTCAACGCGGAGAAAGTGGGCCCGGGGGTGACGCAGCTTCAGTAGAGGCGCGATGGTTGAGCAGTCAGTCAGCTGGGAGGTGGGAGCCCCGCAGATGCCCTCAGCCCAACTGGAACTCTTCCGACCTTTCCCCCGTTGTCCTCTCAGTCCCATGATGTCCCTCCCTTCATGACCCCGTTGCAGATTAGTTGTCGTGCCCCCACCCCAACCACCCCCCCAAGAGAGAGAAAGAGTGAGAGATGTATAGAAAGAGATGGAGAGAGATGGAGAGAGATGGAGATATATGGAGAGAGAGAGAGAATTAAATATATAGAGATATATATATATAGAGAGAGAGAGAGAGAGAAAGAGAGGGAGAGAGACAGAGAGAGATAGAGAGAGATAGAGAGAGAATGCGAGAGAGAGAGAGAGAGAGAGAGAGAGAGAGAGAGAGGGTGATCAAATCTTTCCGTCCACATAATATGGACTCCGATCTCAAGTTATGGGCCTCATATCAGTACTTATATGCCAATGGGCTGAATCGTCAGGCCCATTTTGACCATGCCCATTAGGCCCACATACATTTTAAATAATAGTTATATATTTTAATTGTTTATTTATTTGGGGTGGGATAAGATCGCTCTGGCGTGGGGAATCTTAGGCTGTGAATTAGGCGTGATAAACCTAGTTATTCGCCCCCTAAATCCCCCCCTTCCCCCAACCTACGGTCAGTATGGCGGGCCCACGTGGCGAGGGCCTGAATTCGCCGCGTAGATGATGAGATTAGGTATCCCTTTCCATCCTTATCCTTATCTTTTATTCTATTTGTTTCTAAATGGGTGTTGGTGGACCGGGCCGATCTGGGCTTGGGCTCAGTGAGGGGCTAACGGGGCCCAGCCCGCCTGTCCATGACCCCACGGCTAGAGAGAGAGAGAGAGAGAGGAAGAGAGGATGTCACGTGGTTAGTGGTGAGACGGCAGACAGGTGGCCCCTATCAGAGTCTTTCAGTGCCATGACCAACTCAAGGCCGTCGGATCCTCGGGTCTCGTCCACGTGGTGGAATCTTGGCGGGGCAATCATTTCGGATTCCCCATTTCATGTATTATATGAAATCCAGGAGGCTTGAGATTGGGGCCGATTCGGTGGAGGGGCAAAATGTTTTTTTTTAATTTGAGGCGGAGAAGCAGCCCAATTGGAGGCCCAAATCTCCGGCTCACAAGCCCACTTTCCCACCCAACCGCCGTTTTCCACGTAACCATCTACGATCCTTCTCCCACACTCACTCTTGGAGCCAGTCACCCATCATCATCATCATCATCATCATTTCTCTCTCTCTCTCTCTCTCTCTCTCTCTCTACATATGTATCTCTCTCTGTTTGTGTCTTGGTGTGCATGATAAGAGAGGAGTGTATGGAGAGAATGCTATATTTAAATGAAGGCTGAACGAATACGGCGGGGCTCGTGGTTTTGGAAGTCCCCTAAAAGGCTAGGATTCCCATGTTTTGGAAGGTCTGAGGAAGACAGGAGGATGAGGTGGGCGTCTGCAATCTTCTCCTCTTCGTCATTATCTCATAAAAAAACCCGTTTAGCGCATGCCCTCCCCAGTATAAATAGAGGACAGCCTCCCCTGGACGTCCCACACATCATCAGATCCTTCTCTCATCCCCTGAGAAGCCATTAATTCTGGGGGGACTAGAGAGAAAGAAAGAGAGAGAGAGAGAGAGATGGGAGGAGGAAAGAGGAAGTCGTCGTCAAGGTCATTCTTTGCAATCTTGTTCAGGTTCTCTGGGAGGCCGAGGAAGGGGGGGAGTGAGGTGGAGAACGAAGAGGCGGAGGTGAGGCGCAGAGGGAGGGTCTGGGCGAGCGACGAGGACCGGGGGAGTTGGGTTGGAGAGCCGGACATCGACCGTAAGGCTGCCGAGTTCATCGCCAACTTCCACACGCGTCGCCAACTCCGACCGTTAGATCAAGATCAGGTAGCTTCTCTGTAAGCACTATATGAGAAGGAACAGATCGTCTGGGGTATTGCTTCTGTAGAAAGACACGGTGTTTGACTTGTTTCTTCTTCTTCACTCCCACTCTCTGTCTATGACAAACTACGGGAAGACCGTACAGATCAATAGATTTTTATCAGAGTTGTGATATTCTCTTTACTCTTTCGTGCAAATTACAGCTATGTCAATCAAACTCGGAGCCCACTATCATAAGATCATTGCATTTATATCATAGATCATATTATCCCCACCTCTTGTATTTTTTTCCATGTCTGCTCGGAGAAGAACCAAGCCCGAGTATAACTAGGAAACGAAGCCCATGCTTCGTTTGGTGGGACATGGAGAGAGAGCAGGGAGGAGAAGGGAGAAGGGAAGAGAACAAAAGGTCCGTTTGGGCATTCTCTGTGTCCCAGCATTGCCTCCCGCGGGTGGGTTTTCTTCTATGTGTTCAAAGAGACACTGAGATCCTACTCTCTTCTCTTGATTCACAGTGGATGTCTATGTTGGCTGCCGCGTGGGTTTTCTCCTCGATTGTGCATGTTTCCACGTAAAATTATGGTGTATAGTTTGTGGATGCTTACTCCCAATAGGGTTGGGAATTAGACCGTTCCCCGCTTGGCGATTAGATATCTAGTTCTGAACCTATTTGTACACAGAAAGAGGGATCAGTCAGATTGACAGTCCACCTCAAGCTTCCGAAAGAGGGTTAGTGGTTAGTCCACAACTGCCTTCAATCCTCAACCTTCTTGCGAGAGAGAGAGAGAGAGAGCGAGGTGAGAAAGAGATGTGCTTATGTTCATCAACACAACTGTTTTCTTCTTACTCGCCCCTTCGACTTCCTGTCCCACTTTTTTGGTCCTTCTAGAGGAACTGTCCTTCTGTAGTCCTCTATTCCTTCCCATGGCCCTTTGTTCTCTTCTTTAGCACTTTAACCTTTATTATTTTCAATTCTTTCATGCCTGACAGCTACGATGATGCCTGGCTGGTGTAGAGACTGCACACAACAATCTAGAGGGTATCTGATTAGATAGTTTATATGTGGATATACTCTATCATCATATGCTTTAAAGCCGCTGTACTCTCCATCACAATATGCTGACTAAAGAGGGAAGGGAACAGGGGGAAGATGGGTATTCATGGGAAGCTAAAAAGCAGTCATCTTGCTGCTTTCTATCCACGTTTTAAATGTAGTGCCTATCTGCGTACGTGGGCCTTTCTACTGCTCTTGGGTACTCGAGGGGGAAGAAATATCTCTACTCAGATATCTGGTGTCAGACTTTTGAGATTATATACTATAGGCATCAGCCTGGGTAAGCTTATGTAGGAACCCCGAGATCCTTCATGCTCGGTGAGCCTGGAAGGGGCCATTGATGAGTTCATATAATAAAGGGGTTCTCAGAGACCCCGATGTGTGAGGCCGCAGCTCGTCGTATTAAAACTTTCTGGTTTGCGGCGAGAATCGCTAAGGTAAACAAATGGAAAGTGCCGTTTCACCTACTTCGCCGACGTGAACGGTGCCCATGGCATCCCTAGGGCTGGAGGGAGGAGGGAGAGAAGGAAGCATAGAAGAAGAAGACGAAACCCTTGACCCAAGGATGCTTCTTCTACACTTTAAAATCATAATCATTCATTTTCTATGCTAGTAGTGCGGGTGAAAGAGCTCTTAAGGCAAAAGATCTTAAAGTGGGAGCGATTTCAAAGAACCAGCGAAGAATATCCTTGCTTCGTCGTTTATGGTTACCCGGAAATCTCTTCCCTCTCCCTCCTTTATTGCCGTATTTAAACTCTCCACTCATCTGCAATTCATTCCAATTAATGAAGTGACAGAGCTATTGGTCAGACAGAACAAGAAAACAGGTTAAATTCTCTAAAAACTGACATAGGATGCAGAATTTCAGGTAAAGTCCCTATATCTTTCAATTTATATACATTGAAGATTATTTTGTCACCTTTAAAATAAAAAAAGTCTCATTCACATCACCGATTTCATCTTTTAATTTTTGACGTTTTTTGACATAAAAAATTAAATCAAAAGATTTATGAATGGAATAGTTTCCCCAAGTGCTTCACCTATAGGAGACTTGATCAGTGTTTCTTCGTTTACGGGTTGAGCAAGCTGAACTTTTCTTTTATGAGGCCACCTGTGTAAATATTCACGCCAGGGACACACTTACCCTTGGAAAGGCGACCCGGCAACACGAGAGCACAGAGGAGAGAGAGAGAGAGAGAGAGAGAGAGCATAGTGGCCAACTAAGCCACTGCTGTCTCGCTCCAACTCCTCTCTGAGACGGAAGCGTATGACTTCAATTTCCCTTCTCTAAATTCTTCTTCGTCGAAGCACGGAAACGTCATCTGAAAGACCTTGCATGGATATCGGTCTTCTCATCGTGGTTACAGTAGATGCTACCGACCGAGAAATAGAAAGCACTTGTCGATGTCTTCCATAAGCAGAACGACGAGAAGGTTCCCCTTTAAATATTAACTATCCACCATTAATATTTTTCAAGGATGATTCAAAATTCCTTTTTTATGAAAATAAGGTAGACTGAATGTTCGTCAAGGATGATTCATGGTACACTGGGTACTAATCAAATAAATTTTGGAAGCACTAATTTCCATTCTGGCTTCTATAGGTACGTCAATGTTATGAGGATGTACCTGGCACTTCAATCTGTTCAAAGTAAAATGTTGCGGTGCTATTTTCAATAAAGATATAGTTCCCATTATTTTGGAAAAAATCCAAAGTGACCAAAGGCCGTCGAATATCTTCGAAATGTAGAGGAATTAGGTAGATGACACAGTACAGACTGAAGGGGTAGTAGATATGATGGAAAGTACTGCTCTCCCAACCAGGCCTGCTAGACTCATGCCGCCGCGAACAGTTCTCTGCAGTGTTCTATGAATTCAGGAAGCGGATGATTCTTATGCCATATGATAATTGATTATAGCTGGGTCTGGTGGGCTTCATCACTGGGAAGTTTCGGCGCGGGAAGATGATCTTGATTCCTAAGAAGAACAAGAAGAGTATGATACTCATTCGAAAACTAGATAGCCTCAACCTTTGTGGGCGTCCACCAGGCGGCACAGTCGACCATGAACGGTAGTGCAGATCATCACTATCTAAGCCATCTCGAAGCCGGAAACATCTGTTCGACGTCCCCATCTCACCATCCGCATGTTTACAGAGGGAGAGAGAGACAAATGAGAGGGAGAGAAGAGGCGAAAGAAGAGGTTCGCTTCCAGACTCCTGTGGCGCTTTACGCAACCGTCGCCCCATGACAATGCATAGGAAGCTGATGAGAAGAGTCCAGTCCCGAAGCTGCGGGAAAGTGAGGAGACCCGGAGACTGTACCGGCAAGCCGACATCAACAGGAAGACGCCTGAGCTCTACAGGTTCCATGAAGCCCGATTCGGTGACCTGCAGACAGTAGCCCTCTAGTACCACTCTCCTCTTTCGCCTGGCAGGTCATCTCCATAGTATCTGAGTTAGGTTTTGGGAGGGGCAGCGAGATGGTTTGTTCCCCCTAGATTGGTGTAACTTTCACGGCTTGTATAAGGAATCTGTAGAATGATATTTCCTCATCTCTACCTTTGCCAGCGTCTGTCAAAAACCCTACTGAATGTCTGTTTTTTGTTCAATGAATCGCCAAGCAAAGAGGGTTGTTGATACATTTAATGAACTAGTTTTCTTCCCCAACGGGGGGATCTGAAGGTCTTCCAGGAGCATCTCCAAGGTGGTGCCTCGTTATTCCAGCTCTGATTCAAAAGGCGATGCTCAAGGATCTTCTCATTGCGACCCTCAAACCTTTCTGGCGGTTCGCAGTCCTTTCCATCCCTACTCGGAGTGAGCTAAAGGAGAGAAGGTATGGATGCCGGTAACACTCTTGTTTCTTTGGTTTAATTGTTGGTTGTCAACTGAGTATTACGGGGATCATTCCCCCTCATCCCAACCAAGAACACACGTCGCTACGTGGAATCCAGTTGCTGGGATTGGTATCTGATTCTCCATGGTTGATAAAGATAAGCATGGATCATCCATGAGAAGAGTCACATCAGAACATATCATCAGGTCTATTGTCTACGTGATGAGAAGGGCTCATCTGAAAAGATATGTAGGGTAGTCTCGTATAGAAGACCACATTAGGATCCGTTTCATTTAAAATCAATAAACATTATATATGCATTGGGGAGAGCGAGAGAGTGAGTGAAGACTAGAAGAAATACTAGGATTTTCTATCTTGAAGTTCAGTTGCACTATCAATGGACTAAAGAGTTTCCTCTGACATTCTTTTCTTATATTAACCTCATAATAAAAATGAAAAAGTATGTTATTAATATATACGTATATATATGCATTTATACTTAAATGCTTAGTTCAAAGAGAATGGGAAAGGGCTTATTAAATATTCAATTCATCGAAACCTACTATAAGCTGCCCGACATTCATCAAGGATTCTTCAAGACGAAGGCAAAGATATATTGGGCTGTACACACATCTACTCTCATGGAGCTTCATGACACTATTACGAAACTATTCATGTTTTTTTCTTGGCACCTATCTAACCCCAACGTAACACCTCCCCTCCAAATAGATATTCTTACCTAATAGTATTAGTATTTTATGATATACCGGTTATATTCTTTGCGGTTCTTTTTTTCTTTCACTTCTAATACTTCAATACACTACATTTGGTGGTATTGTATAAAATGGGACGTGTGTGAATAAAATATTGTTTTACCAAAGTTCATGGTCTAGATTGTAAATATTTTTTTTTTGTTAAATGACTAAAGTGATGTCACACTAATTTTGACATTTCAATTATCACATCTTTATTTTTTTTTTACATCAAAAAAAATTATTGTTGGGGAATTTCGAAGGTCATAAAAATTATCCCCACAAAAGGAGGGAGCCTTGCCAATCTGATGACAAGATAAGTGTTTGAAATAATTTATAGAAGTTTTAAAAGATTTGTTTCAAAATTTTAAATTACATGTGA